CCACGGCCGAATCCGCGGGACAGCCCGGAGAGCCGTAAAAAAAGTGTGATAGTCATAACTGAATCAGTTGTTTTCAAAAGGTAACAAGTCCATTTTTACATGAGCCTTGGCTTGCATAAAAGGACATGCCAGCCAAGACTCATCGAGGACTGGGCCTGTTCCGTTTTGAGAAGAACTGATTCAACTACGCGACACAGCCACGACGAATAAAAAAGTCATAAAAGCATCGCGTACTCCGACACATTAGCAGGGCCTAATTAGAGCTCCTGTCAACATGTTCATTTATTGCTCGATCCCGGATGAAACAAAGCTAACAGAGATGGTTTAGGAGAGGCGGGATGGAGGGAGGCAAAATTTGGGACAAAAGGACGAGGAGACGAGTGCAAAAGCTCTTAGCTAATTTGGTATTTGCAGGCAGATTCAGCGAGGTTGCCGATTAGACCCCAAAATTTGAATAATTTAAAATATCGTGAGGAAAAAGAACCTTTGACGGGAGGCTGTTGCAGAACTGGAACTAGACCACCCTCTATCGATGCTACAGGTGATTCAATTACACTGAAAAAAACTCCGGTTGTAAAGAAGCCGTACTTACGGGCTATATAGACATACCATCCGCGTTCCGGGCTCAGGGGCCAAAAGTTCCGGGTTCAGCACCAGGTGCAATCGAAGCTACGGCTCCAGCACCCGGAACTTTCGGCCTTTGAGCCCGGAACGGTCGGTCTGTCTATCTAGCCCGTAACTTTTTCTTTCAATGCAATATTTTTAAATTTCTAACAAGATGGAAAGATGCATACGCGATTTGAATCTCTGGAGACTTAAACGCTAGGTAAGAAAAAAAGACCGCATTTTCCCCACCTATTTGATTTGTCGGTCTCGCTGGTATGTCAACTGTCAGAAACTTATTTTATTCTAAGAAAAGGTCTCTAGTAGATATTTTAATCACATTATCAGATTTAAAAAATGCATTCAATTGTTACATATTGAATGGTAAATGGTGAACGGATAGTATGTCTACAGGGCCCATGACTTTTTTTTAATGCAAAAATATAACATTTTCGAGTGAGATTGAGCTGGAAATCAACTCACACTTCAAGTTTCAAATCATTCATTGCTATAAGAAACTAATTAAGGGCACCTCCAAAGTATTCTGTGAAAACTTGAATATTTAGCACCAGCGAAAATCTCGTGACTGAAATCACTGGGTTGGATGCCTCGCAATAAATTATATTTTTTAAATATTGACCATCATTTCATAAATTGACGAACTCGGATTTGACGGCTCAATAAACCGGGATCGTTTTGGTAGACCTTTCTTTTTTCTTCTTCTTTCTCACTTCTTTTTTTTTTTTGTCAACAAAATGAAAAAATGCAAACGTAGATTTTTCAAAATTATCCAAAATTGCAACTGCTAATTGGGCCGAGTTCTCAGAAAGGAAGCAACCAACATTAAGTTGAAACTAGGGAGAAGAGGTTTAACGTTTTATTCCTGCCCTAGACCCTAGGCTCAATGTGGACATTAAACTTTAAACCCTCTTTTCACTGACTAATTTCTGTTTTTCACCCTTCAGTTTTTGGCAGGAGAAAATATACGGCTAGTGGAACTTGAAACCATTCTTTAAGTCAATTTTCACGAGAATGTAGGTTGGTTCCTTTCTAACCAACACTGGAAAAGAAACAGATTGAATCTAGAGTCCAGACTCTTATAAACATCGACAAGAAAAAATACTCTTGATTCAATCGGATTTTTTGCTTCGATCAAGAACCAAGCCTCTTAATTTGAGCGGATTTCCTTTTGATTTCAGCAAAAATGTGATTGAATCAAGAGTATTTTTTCTTGTCAATGTTTTCAAGAGTCTGGACTCTAGATCCAATGTGTGTGTTTTTTTTTTTCCAGTGAACTCGGTCCAATTTATTATGCGATTTCTTTCAAACGCGCTTTTTGAAGAAATTTACGAAACCTTCGGCGCGTGCTCACAAGCGCAGTGGACCAATAGGGTTGCCTCGAAGGGGTTGAAGATGCACCGCGCAGCATCCCTCGAGGGCCCGGAGGAGTCAGGGGGTCCAGCCCGGAGGGGCAGTCGGGCACGGGGCAGGACACGCGCGCCCAGATGTTCGCCGGAGCGGGGCGTAATCGGAATCCGGCCCATCTCCCCGAAAAATCTCCTATTAATTTGAGCCGGGAAGGCCCTACAGTTACATTGTGCTCCGAGCCCGGGCCGGGGCAAGCAAAGGGTTGTTTATTGCGTGAAAACGCGTCACGCCAACAGACAGATTATTAGCGCTGATAAAAAAACGAGCGGGGCAAAAAGTTGCATCGACTGCGACTGCGCCTGCGCTGCGGCGGGAGCTCTTGTTCGCGTTTTCCACGTCACTAGTCATCGGCGGCCCCATTGTCCGCTAATGCGAGCGCCGTTGTGCTTGCCCGAATCACTGCAACTGCTCGGCGAGGTTTATCTGATTCGAGTTCATCGACGTTCGACCCGGCCCGGCTCCCGAAACGTGTTTGATAAACATGTTTTGCCGTCCACTTGATTGAGCCCCTTGTTGGGGTTCGCGCGCGCCCCCTGCACCCCCCCCCCCCCACCCCTCGATCCTCGATTTGTATCGCGAGTTGGGTTTCCGCCCGCGGGATCTCGCACAATGCGATTGGCGAATTCGCACCGCGCGTGTTTGTTTATTCGCCGATTGTTCGTGTCCGCGCCGGCTCTGATGTCTGTAATTGCTCTTAATTGGGAGTCAACCGGGGCTGTTGCTCACGATCCATTTTCCTTGCTCATCGTTCGACTGACCTCGGGGGGAATGACTTTTTCTAGGACGGTGCACTTGATTGTTTAATCCCTTCGGTTGGTTTCATTCATGGTTCATGATCCTGTTTTGTCGGTATGCATTCGACGGTTCGGATGGTAAAATGAAAGTTGGCGAGACATTTATGCTCTCTTGAATTTTTTCGTTGTTTAATTTCTGGCGTTCCACTGACCTCAAAGTCGAGTCCAATCTTCCTCTCTTTCCTCACTTGTCTCATTGCAGCCTCTCATTTCCTCTCCTAATATAGTGCCTCTTTTCATACTTTACTTTCCTTTCTCTTTCCTCCTTACCCCTTTCAATTACCAAAACGGTCCACTTTTGCTCTCTTTTTAATTAGGTTGGAGCCTACAATTTGAGATGAGCCCGGGAAGTCATTGAGTTATATGGACGACAGGGTTAATCGCAAAGTGCAGTTACGCCCATATGTCAGGAAGACGACGAATAAAAGTGGGTTATCCGACGCCTGTCTTCAAAGATCGAAGTGGATTGAATTTTTTGGTAAGGAACTGCTAAATCGGGTTTATTCATAAAAAATCACCTATCTGCACAAAAAACTAATGGCACTTACGTTATTTCTAAAATACTTCTGATTTAATAGATTTCAATTACAAAATGCAGTCCTTTTCAATGTTTCCTAGAGTGTTCTTCAGTTAGCAAACGCGAATCTCAAAGAGACTTTAACGCGCGGATAAGAAAGTCAACCACTTGCAATCACCAGCGGTGAAGCTTGATTCAATCATTTGGTGTAATCTTGGAGTCATTGAAATCTTAATTGATTGAAGGATTCTTATTTCACTTAAACAGAGAGTTTATTCTATGATATAAAATAAATAGTCAGCTTCACCCCACTTCAAAGGAAAGAAGCTTGCTTCTTTTAAAAGAAAAACATCATCACAGAGCCAACGAAATTGGCATTTTGAGGTGGAATAAATGAGTATTACATTAAATGTACTTCATGTCACCAATATTTGGACGCATTCAACTAGAATCTACAAAACACTATCAGACGTTGCCTAGTTCCCTGCCAATTTCCATTTTTTATCAGAAAAGTAATCAATATTCTGACTTGAAGTTTTAGAAAAAATGACATTTCCATTTTTTCAGAGTCATTTGGTTACATGTGATGGAGCTTTCTCTTGGTCGCACAGTGGATATCAAGTCTACAGGATAGGTGGGACATGCGATTTAGAAAATGTAATAAAGCTCTAATTCATGCCAAACACAGAGGTTCATGAGTAGTTCTATTGGTTTTTTCATGAAATATCCTAACAGGAGCATCTTTTTAAATTAAAAATTAGACAGAGTAAAAATCAATATTTGCAGTTTTAACTGGAAAAAAGTCCAATCTCTCTGAAAGGCTTCTGTAGGTCGATTCACATAATGTGATCCAAATTTTGTCAAAAGATTCTATTCGTCACAGAGTCACTGAAAACGAGCGGTGAAGAGAAAACTACAATCTTTGAGGACCACATCCATTTACTCGGTCTCTTGCCTTTCCTTTCCTTGCGACTGAATACGGCGAGTGATTGAAAAGTAACCGATGCACAGAAACTGGTTCGAGGGGAACGCTGACGCTGGCTATTGCTGTGGATTAAATCTTATGTGGGTCAGGGTCTGAAATACTTTCTATACATTTATAAGAAATTAATCCGTACAAAAATGTTTCATTTGAATTCATTTATTCAAGAGCCCGGACCCTTCGGCGACACCGCGCCTAGCTGCGGCCAATCCGCGTGCGCGAACAGCACTTGATGACGGCTTAAAATAATTATTACAACCATGATAGCATTTCTTGGATTTTTCGACTGACCAGTCCTTTTCTTTTTTCCCTCTCCAGCAAGGCTTAGCTCGCGCCAACGTTATAGCGTGGACGGCCGGGTACAGTTTTTTAAAAACCTCTCGTTGTTTGATTATGCCTTTTTCGGTCTTTTTCCCGCCATTCTTTGTTGAATACTTTCTCTTACTGCATCATTTACTTTTCTTCTTATCATTCAATATATTTAATAATGAAACAACTAAAAGATCGAAATCCTCAGAGTTTTTGATGAGTCTTCCTCTAGCAGTTATGGAAATGGAACCTTGAGGTGCTATTTCTCGCGAAAAAATAGTCGGTGCTGATGACTGAATCTTCTGTTCACAGGATTTCCGGACTTTTTTTTGACAGTGCTCTGTCCTCATGACGGAAACTTCTGCAGCTGTAACATAAAAGTGCAGGAGCATGTGAACAGAACTATTTGTTTCAGAATGGTCTGTAAGTATACACCATTAACCAAGATAGAAACGTCCTATTTTCATCCATGAAAAATTGAAAAAGCTTTGGTGACCGCGTAGGTGATATCCGTCAAGACTTGGTGATATGCTCTTTTTACCAATTAATGCCCTGTAAAATCATGCAAAGATTTCATTGAGACTTCTTTAAACTAGTAGGTGCAAGAGAGCGTGTTGAAATGTAGTCAAAATTTTATCAAAAATCATAATAATTATGATTTTTTATAATAATTATTATGGTAAGGCGGGTTTAAAAAACCTTCTAAAACTATATGATGGTCAACAGACCGCTTGATAATGTCTGAATTTTAGGGAAATTTCTCTGGAATCAAAACGATTTGCTATTTCCCATTGTGGAGTAATTTTGGAGTTATTTAGAAGAAGCACTAAATTGTGTTGACGACAATGTTCATTCCAGAGAGTAGTTACAGTTCTAAGTCTGGAGGGCGACGAATCTTACACCAAGAAAAAGCAAAATGAAAACAGCGAGTCCAGAGATTTGTTTAACTATGATGAATATTTTTATGAACTCACTGTAACGGTTAAATATGTGTTGCTTATTTTCTTATTTGCAAATCTGTCGTGGTGAAAAGGCTTTCTGAGAGTATAAAATTTGCAGTCCTCTCGAGAAGGATGACTCAGAGCCACACTTGAATATGCGCGGTCTAATCGTGGCTGTCAAATGCAAGAAGCATGTCCACATTTTATGCCGGACGAGAGGAACAATTTGGTGGTTTGGCACAATCAAGTCCATATCTTTCCTCCAATCTGCACCGTAATTTAGCTACCGGCGACTTTCCTTCGCCATTCCTCAACGACTGGCTCCTGCGAATCTGTCTCCGTGTCTGACGCGGGAAGAATTACTGCCTTGAAGACAATTCAACCATGTCAAACAAAAAACCTCGCTTCCTAAATGGGAGACCAGTGTAGATTCGTTGTTTTTGCACGGGACGCAAGGATGTATCGCCGATCAAGTTTAAACCTGCGCTCATCCTGGCCGTTTGAGATTCTTGAGCTCTTTAAGATCAGGGAAGCTGAAGAGGAGTCGGATCAATGTTCAATTTGTCGTTTTAAAACGAAAAAACGTGACTTCATTTCAACGTTGCCAGAAATATCCTCACAAATTGTATTTTTATAAGGAGACTGATTAGCGTTCCTAACTAAAATAAAATTACTGATTTTTCCTCTAGTCACTCACCAAAATCAGCAAAATTGTAAACAAAAAGTGCTCAGTTATACGGAAAAAAAAACTTCCTGCGTGGGACCCGAAGTTTAGGTCATATGGATCTCTAAAGTTTTCGGATTGACCATCCAAACACTTATGGTCCAGCTGCTGAGGTTTGGATCACACATCTGAAACTTCAGTTTTTACATTTGAAGTACTTCGGTTTTCACATCCGAAAAACTTCGGTTCTCACATCTGAAGTACTTCAGATGTAAGAACTGAAGTTTCAGATGTGTGATCCGAACCTCGACAGCTAGAGCTAAAGTGTTCAGATGCTCAATCCGAAAACTTCAGAGATCCATATGACCTAAACTTCGGGTCCCACGCACGAGGTTTTTTTCACCGTGTATATTCTAGCAAACAAATTGAAGATTTTGATTCAATTTGACAACTTTGGAATGGAAGCATGATCCTTCATCTAGGAGACGACGAATTTTCTCGAAGTGCGAAGAAAGTGAAGCGGACGAAAACAAAGGAGGGACAAATGAAAATGTGCTTCGAAACTGACAATGGTCTGGATCCCGGACGAACTTACTATAAATGGTAATGTCCCGAGCAGATAGGATCTCCTGTCTGGAAAAAATCAATTTATTTACGTTGGCCTCCCGAACTGGTCGAGACCTGCCGCGGCAATTTCCCGCCAGATTTTCGAGAGGGGGAAAACTCGCTCTTCACCATACGTGATCCGGACCATCTCTTGCGGTATAAATGTAATGCGTCTCTAAATCGGCGAATCCGCCGGAATTGTTTCTGCCCGTTTATGGGTGAGCGTTCATTTTTTGTACGAATACTCGTCACGCCACACTTTATTGGGTTTCGAGCGCGGATGGATGCGCGTCACCGGGATGAGACTTTTTTTTTTCTTTTACTCTTTTTCTTTTTGCGGCTTGAGGCAATTTTTCTCTCTCCTCCGTATCCTCATGCACCGGTGGTTTTCCCCGTTGATCACGATTTGTTTATTAATCGCATCAGCTTAGGTTATTTTTAAAGTCTGATTTTTATTTATGGAGGTAGATTTTTTGCCGATCACGACCAAAATAGCTCGTAAGAAAAGTCCATCCCGAGACCATACTCTTAAAAATTTTTCAAGAGAAAATCAAGGATTTTATCAAATTTTTGCTAGAATCAAAAGTAAATCCGCGTAAATGAAGAGTTTTGGCTCCCGATTCAATTCAAAATCCGCTCAAATCAAGAGTATTTTTTTGTCAATTTTTTAAGAGTCTGGACTGTCCATCCAAGAGTGACTTTTATTTCTAGTGTTTGCCGTGATGGTGCCTGTTATGGTTTCTTCCACCTTGGTTTCAGCCGTGTTCTAAGCCGAGTAACTAATTAAAATGAGTGCATCACTGATTGATAGATCGCAGGATGGAAGTATCAATATTATGCACCAAACTGGTGCCCCCGAGAACGACATCATACACTACTTTTTTCGTAAGAATCGTCATCTTCCGGTAAAAGTATCTCAAGCGCCGTGCGACGTTAAAAAATATCCGTCGCCATCATATTTTTTTGCAGATAAATTATTCAGCGAAGCTGTCCGAAAATTTCACTGAATTTTCTTTGTGCTGCCGATATATTCAGTGAAATTTTCAAACAGATTCAACCCACAACTTCTCTGTAAAAAAATAAAAGGGCAGCGGAAATTTTGAAACGTCGCATGGCGCTTGTGATATTTTCGATCGAAGGTGACGATATTTCCGTTAATATCGGACGTAAACACTCGGCGTTTCGACAGATCATTTTATTTTCTGTTAATCAATGCGCTTGAACCATCAAAAAGCGGTTTTGTGACAAACACAACTGACCTGTCGTTAACTCTGTCTAGTGGTCCATCCTCTCTTAAAACTCAACATCTCCACACCCCAACACCTTGCAAGGCCGCGCATCGCGAGTCGGCGAACCCGAACGCCTCGCGTCGTAAATATCACGCGAAAACGGACGTCTTACGTCGTAAATTACCGGAGAACAATGGAGGCGGCGCGGCGGCGAAGTGCGAGTGTTGTCGCTGTCGCGAGATGGGACACGATGCGACCAGATGCACCTCGCCGCGCACGAGCCATCGCAACCCCCGGGTCCCGCGCCCCGTAAAGCAGTCGGCGCCCGGTGAAATATCGGGTATAAAATACTGCTCGAATGTAAATGGCACTCAATGATCGGGGATCGACGGGAGCCGATCCGCGCCAGAGGATTTAACTTTCAAATGCGCCCGAGAGTTACCTCGACATCTCAACTTATTAAACTCGATTTAGATGTAAACGACGCTGCGCTCCACCCTCGAGGAAACAACCGCGTATCTTCGTTATGTTTCTATTGAGAAGTGAGTGGTTTTGCCCTTAGAATGGGACATCTCTCCGCTGAAAGCCGAGCGCCGTTTGATTGTCGTCGTGTCCTGGCTCCAAGTTTCCGTTTCATCCTTTCGGCTGGGCTCAGGAAGAACGGTGTGTGGATTTTCAAATTTTGCCAAATTTCCTCCAGCACTGGAAAAAAAACACATTGAATCTACAGTCCAGACTCTTGAAAACATTGACAAGAAAAAATACTCTTGATTCAATCAGATTTTTGCCTAAATCAAAAGGAAATCCGCTCAAATTAAGAGGCTTGGTTCTTGATTTGGGCAAAAATCCGATTGAATCAAGAGTATTTTTTCTTGTCGATGTTTTTAATAGTCTGGACTCTATAGATCCAATGTGTTTTATTTTCCAGTGAGACAAATATTTCTTGATGAAAATATTTAGAAAAAGTTCGTTAATTGATTAATTTCGACGATCAGCAATTAGGCTATTTACCAGGGCTATATACCTAGGCTAAATCAGGAATTTACCTTAAATTGTGAGATTTGTCTCGGTAAAGGGCTTTTAAATTTCGGTGGTTACTTTTGGATCATCAGAACTTAAAAGAGGGATGTTTGAAGAGAGGGAAACTTTCTCAAAATAAAGAGCCAAAAACAAATTACACAGGAAAAGAATAATGTTAGATTAAACCCAACCTTGTTTATTTCAATGCCCTCCTGAAATTTGCTTGAGATGATCAAACAAATGTTGCCGCTCACAAATTTGATCAAACTAATGTTGCTGCTCACAAATTTTCTTCAAATTTTATGCGTAAGTTTGAGCGTACACTGAGGCAAACGGTTTCCAGTTGGAACGATGGCGAAGGGGAGACCGCAAAAAATATAATAGTGCGTACGATGTACCAAAAATATGCAAATCCTATCATTGGAAGTGAATTGAGGAGAGCCGATAAATTGGGATTGCCGTTTTGTTTATGCCTGCTTTTGGCAAAATGAAATAAAACAATCGATTTATTGTTCGGCGCTAATCCGATCTGCATGCTTAAGGGAGCTCATTGAAATAATTGAATATTCAATCGATACATCTGCGAATGTTGAGAGGGGGATAACTCTGATCAACGGTATGCTAATTTCTTTTAAGCCTCAATCTTAATTAGCCGTGGAAGCTAATAAATTTAAGTAGATACTGTGAGGTTGGGTCGGATTCGTGATTTGATCATTTCAGGAGAAAGTCATATTTGCCGTCCCTGAGCTGGTTGTAGAATTTTGAGGCTTCCCCAGTAGCACATTATAATGAAATATGCATACTGCAGAAAATTCCGAAGTGATGTGAATAAAATTCTACATTGTATGAAGTGCAAATCTCAAACCGTCATAACTCTGGTTTGATTTGACATTTCGTACGATTTTTT